AAATTTTCGTTACGGACGTTCGAATTTACCCGATTCGATGATATTGATGCCAGTCTCGAGCTGGCGACTGTGTATTTGAAAACACGTGTGATTGACATACAACTGACTTTGAGAGCGAGTTGTAATTCCATTTATGCCCGTTTCAATGTAAATTAACTTTAACCTTGGTTCGACTTAGGCCCAGTTGCACCAACGTTACTGTAATTTTAAGCGAGGCTTAAAACTCTCTTTGTCCCTGTCTCTTTTCGGTTTTAAAACGAGATAGAGAAAGTTTTAAGTTTCGCTTAAAATCAAAGTAACGTTGGTGCAACCGGGCCTTAGTCTTTATCTTTTTCTAATTCTTAGAACTAGAAAAAGATGAAGAATTACTTGAACCGAGATTAAAATTAAATTGCATTGTTAAAAATGTGCATTATTGGTCGCGTTCAGCTGACTCAACTGTTGCGGAGCGGATCCGTGAGCGCTCGTTGCTATTGGATGATCTAAAAGAATACGCCAATAGCAGCGAGCGCTCACGGATCTGCTCTGCAACAGTTAAGTTTGCTGAACGCGACCAATGTCAAATCAGTCGGCTAATGATAATAGATGAACGTTGAAATATATTTTACTTCTTCTCCACTCATAATAATTTGAACGTATTTAACAGCAGTAATAAATCTTTTATTTTTTTATTCTCTGCGATAAATATTATATGCATGAGAACGTAATAGAAATATTAATTGAAAATCGACCGATGGGATTAAACACACACGAGTGAAAAATGCTATTTCGGCAGTTCTCTTCGTGCCTAATAATTTTTCATGTAAATTAATATAATTTTCAATTCGAGCAAATTATGCGTCAATTATTTGTAGGTCTTGAATCACAGTCCTAAACCGAAGTTGGAATAGTAAGGAGATCCGGGATAAGAAATCCGTGTTGAAATAATATTTATCGCAATAAATTATTCACAGTTTTTAAGATGCTTGATAGCATCAAATTATTTACAGCAATAATATTAAATTGCAGCTTATCAATTTAATTTGTGATATTTAACTGCTCCAGCTTCGGTTTCAAACTGTGTTTCAAAACTATGATAATTATATAATTGGTCTATAGTTTGCTTGAACTAGAAATTGTATAAATTCACAAGAAATATTATTAGACACCGCCTTGATTAAATATAGCATTTTTTAACCATGTGTGGAAATAGATATAATTTCTAAATTTTGTTAAATTTTATCGCTTTTATGTATATCTTCTGATGATATATGAGGTTACATAAATGTGAATAGAAACATAAATGTATTTTGCATTATACATATAACGTATAGATTATAATTGTATATTGTATAAGTGTATTGTGTTACTTACATTCTTATATTTGTTATTATGGCATATATATACGTATCATTCTTTTTTTCTTTTCTGAAGTATTCATTGCATTCCATATAAAAAGTATGGAATAGTGCAACGAAAAATGGATCTAAAATTGATAAATATAGAGGAACACTAAAGCATTTTGAGAGCTCGAGGTATTGATTCATTTTAAAAAATTCTAATTTTATATTTATTTAAAAAATGTAGAGTTACTGAAATATTACTGAAATCGCAACATGAGAGATATAGGGTGTTGCAGACTTTATTTTATAAACTAAAATTTATTGTACCGTATAGTGTACTTATGTATAATTATACATTGTACAAATTGTTTATCTATATGTACATTTTTTAAAATGTTCGATCAATTACGCGAGTAATTTTGTACTAACGGTAAATAATATAATTTTTTTCTGAGTGATCAAAGTCATATTATTTGATATTATATGTACATCAGATATCTAAATAAGCAATAACAATCACAAGGTATTATTTATTTCGATATCAATTGTAACTTTAGATTATCTTAATGATAAAGAAAAACATGAGCTAATGAGAATGCAATATGGTACAAGTTAATGAGAATAGTGTGCAAAAAATAATGTACAAAGTTATTATTGCTTTAATACAAGAGCAAGATAACACCAAATTCGACTCTCAGAGTTATTCTCAGCAATCAAACAATTATAATTTTAACGTATTCCTCCTCAATCCAAAAAGGAAGTCACTCGCAGGTTGCCGAATCTGAAATGGTATCTTTATAATAAACAAATATATTGGACAACCTATGACGCTCTCGAAAGATTTTTTTGTTAAATTATAAGAATGATTTACTCCTTACATTATATTAATTATCTTTTTTATGATATTCTTTTCATTATTGTGATGTAGAGATTTCCTTCTACATTTAATATTTAGAAGGAACTCAATCTATTTCTTTTTATAAAGCCTAATTTTCACAATTTTTCAGAACAAAAGTATTAAAATTGAAATTATTTTTGATAAAAAATCATTTGTAGTTATTACTTTTAATATCCCCGTTATAAAAATATGAAATTTTTATTTAAAAATTAATTAGGGAATTAATATCATATTTCGGTTTACATGATGATAAAATTTAAACATATATTAATTAAAAGAAAAAAGGTTTGAGGAAACTAATGTTTGCCTATCATGTTTAAAATAAAATTTTTTTGTATTTTGTTTCTAATCTCTTATAAATATGCGTATATTTTATTAATCACAATTATCAGTTTAATAATACATGTCACATATATATACATACATATTTTTTACAAATATTTATACGTACATATTTGTTAAGTATGCAAGGTGAAAGTCAAATTTGCATACAGTGTCTCTGCGGTAGTGGAAAATCATCGAATGTTGACTATAATGTATTGTATTTAATTTGCATAATTTTGAACAATTTTTCATTGCTTCTTCTTATTTTACACATCTATACCATACTTCGAAAAGTGTAAAATTATTACTAATATATTAATAAACAATTATTAATATACAATTATTAATATAATGTGTCTATAAAATTTATTATCTCCTACATTTTGGAAACGGTTAAAATTTATGGAAAACCGCGATTTATGTGTTTAATCATTTCGAAGAGCTGCATTATATAAGTAACCTCTCGAAATAATCAAATATGTATTTCGCGGTTTTTTATAATTTTAGATTGTACCGAAATGTAAAAAGGGGTGGAAAGAGACTTTAAAGATACCCTGTTATTTAAGATAAATAAAAACTAATGTAACGGCACAAGAGCAATGAAAAGTATTACAACTGTAGTATCCAAATGTCAGTTTTCAGGAGAACTATTTACACAATAATGTTCTTTTTGTAGATAAATTATATATTTTTAAACAATACAAAAATGTCGAATAAATATAAAGCACTGAATAGATACAAAATTATATGCATTGATGTTATAACATTTGTTGTGCAAATACCTTTAGAAAATTGTAAATAAAGATGCTCAATGTTATCATTGCACAAATATAGTTACAATACTATTCATTGAATTGGAGAGAAAAATTCTTCCAAATATTTTCTTCATTTCTTATTCACTAGATTCATACTACTACTTTGATACCATTTTGATATTTTAGGATATAAATATATATACTATAACTAAATTTAATTAGAAAAACAATTACAGAGAGATTTCTCGCGAAGTTGGTCAAATGACTTATGCGAACCTGTCACTCGACTTTAAGAAAAAAAATTTTTTAATACGTATTAAATTAAACTAATTTCGTATCCGTTTATATCACTTTCCTTTTTGTTACCTTAAGGAGTTCAAAAATATAAAGAGTTGAAAAAAATGCTGACACTTGAAATATTCACTTTGAAATATTTTAAATCCACAAGAGTGATTTTATCGAAATTAAAACATTTTCAAAAATGACAAAGTTAATTCTCATCCTATTTTTTCAAATTTCAGTATACTCACCCCTTTAAGGGTATAAATGAAACCGATTGTGGTACAATCGGGTACAAACGATTACAAAACATCTGCTTGTGGATTTAAAATCTCAACATTGCACTTTTTCAACTTTTTATATTTTTAAACCCCTTCTTAAAGTATAAACAATGGTACAAACCTAGTTTAATTTAATGCGTATTTAAAACATATTTTTTCTCTCTCTTAAAGTCAAGTATCAGGTTTACATAGGTGATTGAATGTCTTGAAAAGGACTCCGCATAATTTATATAAAAAATTAGTTTTAGTTAATTTGCTTGAATCTGATGCGACTATGTTATATTATAATTCTTGCATCCCTGATCAGAAATCTAAATGGGCCATACACTTGCATGTTTTTAATTTCTAAGAAAAAATCGTTTAAAAGTCTTCTATAAGACCTGTTCATACGTTTGCTTCCACAAGTTTATACTTGCGTGCTCGAGTATATATAAAATATATATAAAATATATACATATATATAAAATACATATATATATAATATATATATATATCAAACTCGTGTATGAACGAAACTTTCTAAAAGGAGACTTTCAAATGTCTCTAACTTAGAAACTAATCATAAAAGCATTTTGCCATTAAAATTTTTAATTAGCGCTGCAATAACTATTGTATATCACAAATTCAAGCAATAAATTGGCTAAAAATTTTCTTTTTTATGTAAATCGGATTCGGATTCCTTTCGGAGAAAGATATTTAAAACAAAAGATAGTTTCTATGTATTATTACATAGAAAAAATTTATTTTTGTATTCTTATTTACTTTGTTATTAAAAAAATTTTTAGGGAATTTTAAAAACGATCAATAACACATAATTTTACGAATAACTAATTAAAAGTACGAAATAATCAATATAGAAGATAGTTAGAAAAATGACAATTGATATTAATGATCAAAAAGAAGTATTTGTGCAACACTCAATGCATATTCTTTTTCGATTTCGTGCAAAAACAGGAAATATCGTTATGAACAAAATGTTTTATAAAATGTATCAATAATACAGAAAAAAATACTAAGATACGTATTCCGATATTAGGATATTGTTAAAAAATAATAAAATTCTAATCTGTCCTAGAAGAGACATGCAAATACTTTTTCCATACTTTAACAAACATAATCGTATAACAAAAGACTAACTAACCTACTCTTCCAGGCATAAATTCCGCAGTAATCGCTCGGAATATTGAACATTTGTATTACTGTGTAACTTGATGCATTCGCATACGAATATGTACGCATTGTACTTTGCCGCAATTTCTTTTTTAATTAATAAACCGTGATATTTACAGTAGAAATTTTCATTACAAATACTGAAAGAAAACATACATAGATATATTTAGTATGCAATCATATACAGGGTTTCCATATAAGTGGCGATTCCTTTTCTTCTTGTAAACAGAGATTAGATCTAATAAATATAATATGATTAATGTATTAACATGTTGTCATCTGATTAATACGTAAGAGTCAGAAGTTAACCACATTGCAAGGCAACAGAAAATCTAAGTGTAACTACTCACAATAGTGTTTAGTTAGAAATTATGTTGTGTATGTTTAATTTGTGTTGTGTGTGTGTGTAATATTATATTTATTAGTTCTCTGTTAGTTTTTTAAAAAAGGATGTTCACTTATACACGAGGACACTCTGTATATTTATATATAGCTACTCTATAAAAATTTTTTATCAAAATTGTATCTTTTTAAGTTTATAACATTCTAATATGTTATATTTCTATAATATTTTTATGATAAATAAAAATATAGAAATACTTTTGTTTCTCTACTTCTACCGTTAATATTTTATATAGATTTTTATAATATAAATAATTGTATATTTAATGTTAAGTTATATATATAATTAATATAGTACATACTATACAATGATTTAATTTCTTTTTAAACTTAGGAATTAAACTTTATTATATTTTTTAAAATAATATAATAACGTTTTGCACATAATATAATATTCTCTCAACATTTCAATAAAATTTTATTAAAGTTGTTAGGGTGTTTCTTCTTGCAAATTGTACATTAAAAACATAAAAAGTGATGTCATTTAATTTAAGAAATAATTACAGTTTTTTGCGAACTCAAACACAAAAATTATAGAGAATTACTTAGAAACGTATTACTTTAATGTCTAAGTATACTTTTGATAATATACAAGTATTAAAATGTCGCTATATCAATCTTTTTAACCGAAGAAGAACAATGATGTGAAAATGGAATTCAAATAAAATAAAAGAATAGAAAGGAGGAAAAAGAAAAAAAATTCTTATAATTAACAATTAAGTTCGAAAGAAAATAAAACATACGTACCATTTTTTGTGTACAGGAGGCATTGTCTCAAATTCATATTCAAAAACGTTGTACATCCATTTATGAATCTCATCAAAATATATTTCTGCTTCCAAATGTGGGTCTATATTTTGAATACGCTTAAGCCAAAGATCGTACATTTTTCCATAGTACGTTTCAGTGACAATAGTATTTATAGAAGACAAAGTCCTCAGCAGGTTATAGCAAATCGTTTTATGTTTGTCGCTTGTCATGTTCATTATAACATTTTTAGAAAACTTTACGATTGCGTATAGCAGCATTATAAAAGTGTGCTTGGGAAATGTGTCTAAATACATCAAAGCGACTTGCGATACATCGGCAGTGATACGTATTATGTTTTCATATGCCATCATCTTATCGGTCCAACCAAATTCATACCAGAATACGAATGTCAATTCGTTTGCAAGTACTATGTACTCCTTCTCGTAGCAATGCAACATTATGTGACGTATAAAAGCCTCTCGATTGAGCTTGAAAGATTGCACAAAAGTGCGCAACTTGGGATGGCATCGTGGATCTGTGCGCAGTCGTCGATGCATAAAGAGGCAACGTCTCTCGTATTCCTGGATTATGTTCATCGTATTCATAGGTCGCATTTTTTTTATATCGAGTGGTTCTATATGATAGCTACTTAAGCATATTGTCTCGTAATCTAGATTTGGCAGTGGATCCGATGAGTAGAATAGATCAGCGATTATATTATTTACAAGTTTTACCCCAAGTTTGTATAATGCAAATTTTGAAAAAATTGCATTAAATTTTCTTAGCAGTGATGTCTTCTTAATTAATATTATTATTAAGTGTGTGAAATTAGTTCTATATGTATAGAGCTTTCTTGTCACGATACTTTGCACATGTAATAATATAGTATGTATGTTGATTTCTTCAAAATAGCTACTTCTTAGATAAGGGATGTAAAGTTCTTGTATTACATCATCTACAGTCACCATCTGTGAAAAATTTAGGAATAAAATATTAAAAAGAAATTTTAATAAAATGATAATTCGTAAAAAAGAATGGAAATTACTATTATAACACGTATGTTTTAATCAGCGTCTAACAGTACAATTGATTAAAATTATATTCAAATAATACTTAAGAAAAATGATACATTCTTGTTTACTAAATGTATACATACATAAAATGTTAAATTAAATATCTGTTTTAATATTAAAAGATTTGTGTTCTTTAAAATATTTAAATGATCTTTTTTAAAATGGTTTTCCTTTGTAATAACACAAATAATTAAAAATATATTGTAGATTTTATAAATATTATTACGACTAAAAGATAATTTTAAAAACTATAGAATTACATCAAATGTAACATTTACAACATTGTGTATCACCTGATAATCCAATAATGTATTTATAAATGTCCTGAAATTTGTATGCCATGCCGTGCGTTGTTGTAAAACTATATTTTTCAGAATGTACATTAGCACGTTTGAGTGATCTTTTTTTAAATTGTAATAGTTTCGTATCAAAAATGCAAACATGTTGCTTTGGAATAAAATGCTATCAGATGATTCAACGTTCATTTCATACAACATTAACTTGCTTAATACATCCCTTGGATTTAATAGAATAAAGATCAAGAGGATACGACATCTCTGGGAAATAGTATTCGCCATTGATCGCGAATTATTGAATTCTTCAACAAGTAAATTTTGTCGTAAGAATGTGTCAAAGGACTTTTCGTTATACAGATATTCTAAACAATTGTCGTCAAAATGTCGCCCCATGTATTGTAATATGATGCTGTGCAAATCGTGCTCTTTTAGATGGATTAATATTTTCAATACCGATACGTATATCCGGTATTTTTCTGTTTTAGTATGCAGATATGCGAATTTATAATTAAGATATTCGAGTATAACATAAAAATCGTTAAGATGTAAAAATTTTACTCTCTGTCTGATAAAATCTAATGTATACTGGTCCCACTCTTTATAGCGTTTAATCAGTTCCTTTACACCATGCAACTTGCCTTTGGCGATATCAAGACAAAGTTCTTGCAGAGTTAAAATAGATTCCTCGGATTTCATTGGCCCTATAAGTTGCTTCAGGCAAAGGAATAATTGTCCACTTTCCATAAAAAAATTATTCTGTTTTATAAATTCGTTAAGATAGTGACATTCAATGATGATAGCACGATGTAGTGAGATCATAGTGTTCTCATCATCAACGACGTTTCTCCAGATTGTACACTCGAAAGAATCAACATGCTTGATTTGACTCAAGAGTAGAGTGACCAATTTCTGGTCTAATGTTACTATAATGGATTTTACCTCGTTTGAAGGAAGTATATGGTAATAATTCGTATGTTCATTGAAATTGCCGTATGTGAGTCTGAACAGCATTGCTCGATCACAGTTTTCGAAATAATTTTTAATTTTGCTACTTATGCACTTCTTGATACACTGAAGTATGTTCTTCACTAAAATGCCGTGTTGTAAGTAATTGTTTCTAATAGATAAATTATAAGAAGTGATAAACTTAGGGACAAGCAAATTTAACAATATTTCAAAATACGTTATTAATTGGTGAATGCATTTCATTATATTTCCTATTGATATAGTGCCAAAATGCAACCACAGGCATTTATAGTATATTTTGTAGATTAGAAGAAGAATAAGGCGTCTGGCTCGTGAAAGTGTCAATCCATTTATATGTTCAATCGTTATTCGTAAGATCTCCACGCATAAATCCAATGGTATGTGCACAAGCGATTCAATCAGCAAATCCTCGCACCGCGTGTACCATAGTATCTGTAGATATTATATAATTAAACTATGTTAAAAATAGATAATATGAAATATTTATTTAACACCTAGAGAAAAGTTATATTTAAATTAAAGAAATCATTTTTGTTGATTTTTTGAAAAAAGTTGAAGTGAAAATAATACCTTTGAGAAAAATAAAAATTTACTTGATTTAAAAAAATGACATTCCAATCAAAGAAAAATTGATTTGTTTTCAAGAAATGACATACAAATCAAAGAAACTTTTTTTAACCGTATAGCAATGCACAATTTTCTTTGACTCAAACAAATTTTTTTTTAGTCGAAGAAACTTTTCTTTGGGTGAAAAATATAACTTCACTTATGTACACGCGCACGTGTATGTATACACTAATCACTATACGTATATGCGCACACATATATGTATATAAAATAATTAAATGATAGCTGTTTTACTTCTTTATTAGTTGGTAATGTTTTTCTCTTATCGCTATAGGAACTATACAAGCTTTTTTATTGTGGCGTTAATCTTTTGCATCGATACTTAATATAAATAAAGATTATTAAAAAAAAGACAAAGAACCACTATATGAATTTAATTAGTAAAATGAAAGAGATCTCTCTTTCGTTATTTTATTATTGTATTATGTGATATGTCACAGATATGAAAAAGTCAAAAAAATTAATATAATACTTCGAGTATCCTCTTATACTCTTACACTGAAGAAACATTAACATTCCGTCACATATTGATTTAAGAAAAAAAAAAAGAAATCAAAATGGTTTTGAAAAGTATTCATTGTTCAATATGTTTATAATGTAATCAGAAAGTTAATGTTATTTATTAATTACTAATAATGCTTATATGATTGTGTACGATAATATATGATTGTTATTGATAAATCACCTGTACGAAGAGACAAGGTGATAGAGTAGGCCATATACCGACTACGTGGCCAAATTTCACGTCTTTTCTGAGAAGATATTGTGAGGAAAAATTCGTATTTAATAGTAAATATTTGTAACACGTTATAAACATTGACAAATAGTTATGTTTTGTGTTGAAATCATTGTCTGCAATAAATATTTCAATATTATACATCCCTAGTTGGTCCTTCAGATAGTACATAATCATTTTTGATACTTCATCGGTGGAACGCAAGCTCTCATTCATAGCTCGACACGAAAGAAGTTTCAATTGGCCATGTTGTTGCTGTAGTGGTGATAAGAGAGCTCTTATGTCCTCAACAGTCTGCAGGTTAAGATAGAAAATTTGATCCATCTTGAGCAAAAACCTGAGAAAGTGATTTAAAAAATAAAAATCAAGATTTTAAATGTAATAAAGTATATAAATAATCTATATATAACAATATTACATATGTATAATGTACACACACACACACACATGTTATATATATATATATATATACATATATATGTATGTACATGAAATATATTTTAAATATTATCTGCAATATATGTATAATGTTAAAAAATAAATAATAAAACTAAAATAAAATACATGAAAATGTAAATGTAATAATATTGATGTAATTCTTATTCTTTTACTAAATTGATTCTTTTGTAAATTTCATTAAAGTAATTATTTAAAAAAATTAAAAGATAAAACTAAAGAACAAAAAGTTAGCTGATATTAATTAAAATTGAAATTATAATTATATATATAATTTGCTCTTTATTTGGAGAAATTAGAATAAACAAGTTTTTTTTTAATATACAGTAGTGTATAAAAGTGTTTCGATTTAAGTAAATCAAATTTTACTGAGATATAGAGTACTGTTTCTCTCAACAAGTTTTCTTGCATCTTTTCTTTTTACGATTAATTAGTCAGTTAATTGCTAGAGAAGAGAGAAAGAAGATATATCTTTCAATCTCTGATTTTCTATATCAAAATATAATATTTTTGCTTTCTATTATCAGAAAAGGCAAGTTAAAACATTTTCTCTCTCTCGCTAAAGAATTATATTTAAATAGTGATAAATAAATAATATAATAAGCGTTTACACAATATGATCTATAAATCTTTTCTTATCTTAAAATTGTCGTGTTACATGCCCTGAAGTCTCTTTTCGTTGAGGCTGTTAATATAAATTTAGAACATTCCATTATATTTCCGTTATATTATATGATTTCCATTATAAGGCACAAAAATTTCGGCTTTCTCTCTCTCTCTCTCTCTCTCTCTCACCAAGATTTCTTATTCAAATTAAAAATTTTTTCTTTCTTATTCAACATTCATCTTCATCGTCACAGACAATCGCTGATAAATATCGTATTCTCCGTATATCTTTTTCACAATTTCTTATCACTAAAACTCTTACAAACTAATAATAATCGAATTCCTTACGTCTAGTTAAAATTAAAACGCAGAAGTCTGATCTTCATTGCCATCGATTGGAGTATCGTCGATTTTATTGTTGTTTGAACGAAGCTATGATATACGACTCGTACACGTATGTACAGCAGCGATCAATGATTGGAATATTATTGGAGTAGTTGTCACAATTCGTGTTGCTGATTAATCTTGGATAAATTATTTGCAGCGACTGTTGTTGAATATTTTGAGACAAGATACACACCAATTTTGTAAGTTTTTGGACGTTTGAATTTACCCGAGTCGATGATATCGATGTCAGTCTCGAGTTCGCCTATGTCAAGTATTTTGAAAACACGTGCGGTTGACATGCAGTTGACTTTGAGAGCGATTTGTAATTCCATTTAATGTTGAATCACAGTCGGATAATAATAAAGTAAAACGTTAAAATATACATTTCATTCCTTCTTACTTGTAATAGTTCGAATGTATCAGACAGTTCGTCAAAT